TGTCAAATTTTCCTTCCTATCCAGGTTTAATGTATGATTTAATGAGTAAATTTTGAGTAAGCCTGCAGGTTGACTTCTCAAAAAGTGGAAACCTTGTGCTGTCAAAACATTGTTCTGTTTATTGGAGCATGTGAAGTTCTGGCTCAACCAGTAGGGTGAGTTTTGGATGGGACTACCTGGTTGTCTGATGGATGGAGGATGAATAGAGTGTATCAGAAATATGTAACTGCAATAGAGCTAAGCATTTATGATGTATTAGGCCATCCCAGAAGTTAGCATCATCCTGGCTTGGCAAATCCATGTGTTAATTCACCCATCATGTCAACCTGATCATTTTAAATCATGATTTTGTAAACCAAATCATTGATAAGAACCTCCGCAATGCAATTCCCCATTGCATTGCTCTTTGGGCTTACGATTTTCACAACAGCTTTAAAAGTTTGGTTGCAAAATGCATCAAACAGTCACTAGATATGTTTCCAGTCGTGAATTTAACTTACGTGCAAAATTGGAATATCACTTAACACAGTAGCTAATAAAGCAGCCCATGTGTTAAAAATAAGAAAAAAGAACAGCATTTCAGATTATCAAACTAACACTTGAGATGCTGTAAAATGGAATTGGTCAGCTGGTTGGTCCAGTTATCCAATCACATCCTCCGTAGTCATGTGAGGTTGTTGTGCGTCGAGGGACTTATTTAGTAAATGTGTTTCCATCGTAGTTTATGCATGTCTTTTTATTGGATACAAAAAATGTTTAGCCTCAACTGAGAGCATCCATTTTTTATGCAATTTTTTTGAATTTATGCGCATCTTGGCATTTCCATGGAGAATTTTCTTTTTTTTATGCAATATCCCAAAATGTGCATAAAAATAGGTGGATGGAAACATAGCTAGTGAATGGATTGGGTGGTTCAAGAATCAAGAGCCTGAGACTGTCCCCCTAATGACTATGAATTTCAGAGACCATGTGTGGAAAAAGAGTTTCCCAGCAGCTCTCTGAATAATAAATATCAAAACCAGGGCTTTTGGGAAAAATGTTTGCCAAATTCGGTTAACCTAAACTTAACCAGTTCAAACAAATGTGAGATAAATCTGTTGTTGAAGCAACCATCCAATTATTTACCAGGCCTATGTTTGCATGTACTGTAACAGGTCCAGAGGTTTCCTAACATATGGAGCTTAGATACGGAACATATGTGATCCAAATGCCAAAATGTGTTTGTTTACAAATCTTGGACTATGGTAAAAGTGTTTTGAGTTTATAACACAGTATTGTGCTAGCAACCGCACAAAGATAAGTCTTCATTAATCGAGAATCTGCCACTGTAATCATAATTGGTGTGAAATTTGTTTGTGTTTTAATGGCACTAGTGGTCATTTCAGCTGTAAACTGTAGAATCTATTGGTAAATTTTTGGATTTTTATAAAATTTTGGTAGATGCCATTTTTTCCCCCAATGACCCAATGTTGATCAAAACAGTTCCCAATGTAGATCTTTATAACACTATTCTTTAAGTACGCTGTCTCACACACACATACTTGCCATTTCTCATCCCTCTTGGCATCTTGCTCTCCCTCCTTATCTGTCCGTCTTCCACTCCCATCTCATCTGTCGCACCATCTGTGCAGCTGCGATAAGTGCAGTACTTTCTGTCTCCTCCCTGTCGTTCCCCCCAGACCCTTTCCCCCTTGTATTCCTGCTTGACTGACGCACCTTCCACTACTGTATGATTCGACAGCAATTGTCTCCTGCAGTGGGATGGGTGTACTGTTGTCAGCAATGTAAACACTGCTATTAGAGACCGCTATGCATTCCGTAGTCCAGTTTGCTACAATACAAAAGCGTCTGTTCTAACATGGCATTTTCCACACAATGACAAGGCACTTTGCAGCAGTGATGGCATATAAAATAAGACACTGTATGATGCCAAAGTGGCCTCGGCAGTTTGAATTTAACGCTTTCAGGTATAATAGTGAATACCATTAAAGGGATAAAGTCATTAAATCATGTTTAATTTGGACTTCTCTGCATGCTCTTTGAGGTAGACTCACGGTGAACCCCATAAACTTCCATTACATGACTGACAGACAAGAACGGTTTGACCTAAAAATATCAAAATCGAAAATACTGTGGAAACATTGACATTGACATCTTGGATGCCCTTGAGGTAAGCTAAAACATACCAAAACTTAATTTCAAAGTGAACTATCCCTTTAACAATCTAAATCGCAAAGTTATTCAGTGGATAGGCATTTATTCAGTCCGAGAAAAATAGCAAGATATTATAGATATCAATAAATAACCAAAATTAAATAACTGACATGTGTTATTAAAACAGTAAAGGTGAAAATATTATAATAATTTAAATTAATAGTGTGTCTTTTTCTACCCCTATTAGATAACAGCACAGTACGAATAAACTTTAAGAAAACAATTTTCAATTATTTTTTTTAGTAACTGTTGAATAAGTGGGGCCCTTGAGAAAAAAAAGAGTATTACATTTTATTATACTTTTAAAAAGAGTACTTATTACAAGAACAATATACTTTACAAGAAAATACTGTAACACTTTAGAATACTGTTGAATACATGCTTCTTTTTCTACTTTGTTTTCCGCACTCATTGGAATCAATTGGGTGGTTTTGTTATTTTGTAATATGCAAGTTTCTTTTATTAAATGGAATTGTTTCCTGTCTCCTTTGAAGCTCAGTCAGGAATAAAATTATTCCCGGTTTAGATGTGACGGCTGTGTCTTATTCCCTGACATAACATATACACACGTTGAATGGCCAAATATTTAAATGGGCAAAGACAGCTATAAATCACAGTCGCTTTCCATTGAATAGGAATTGCACAAGGTCATTTGGCTCAATTCAACTCATCAATAATCATGTTTTATTGGGGGTAGAAATGCACCTCATAAAAACAACAAGAAACAACATAAATCCTTTCATGACACAACAATACTAGAGCACTATAATAACAACAAATAAAGATGCAATAACATTGTCAAGGCTGAACCCAAAGACAGGTAAAAGTTTGTGAGGACTTAGAGAGCTTGATTTTTTTTAAGTCGATGGCTCCGCCATGTTCGGACGCCGTCCTGGTCATTCCGCTTACGCTGTGTCTAGTAAATACTAGATAAAAACAAACAGTCTAAGCTGAGTGACCAGGACGGTCCGCAATATTTAGAATTACTCTTGCCTTTGCACATACAACATCTGCAGTGATTACCTTCATCTGCAGTGAATAGACAGGAGAGATCTCCTCCGATGTGACGGAACAAAAAACACAAAGGAAAACGTGCTGGGGTTCTACACTAGAGCACATAGTCTACCTTTGCCCAGTATCTTGCTCGCCAATATCCAGTCGCTTGAGAATAAGATGAATGACCTCAAAGCCAGGATAAGATTCCAGAGGGACATTAGGTACTCCAAAACATGGTTGAACCACTCAGCTCCGGATATAGCTGTAACACCATCCGATAACTTTACTGTTCTTTACAGATCACGCCACTATCTTCCTCATTGCGGAATATTAACAAAGGCCTGTGCGGGTAACATGAGCGACTAAAAAGCGTCATTTTATGCTCTCTGACACGCAATGAGAGCCGCTAAAGAATGGTACCGAGATCGAGTGGAGCCTCATTTCCAACTGAATGACAGCCGACGCATGCGGCAGGAATTGAGGACTATTAGCACTTTTGGACGAAGACCCACGGTTGCGGTAAGTGCAGATGCTTTTCTGGCCGATGAAATGAACACCTTTTATGCGTGCCTCGAGACAAACTGTGCTACTGTCAGTCTGCCGACAACCACTGGGGGAATAAACAGCTGCGTCGCAAATTGTGAATGTTATCAAGAATACCATGTGCTCCTCCATCCCTAACAAGATTGACCCACTCGAGTTTGCCTATCGCCCCAATAGGTCTGCTGAGGGATGCTCTCTTCCATATCCTGCTTGCTACTCTTACCCACTCTAACAGCAATAAAGGGAATTATGTGTAGACACCAGTAGAGAGAGTGAGCAGCTTCAAATACTTTGGAGGGCACATCTCTGAGGATTTGACTCATCGCATTCAAGCCCAAGTAAAGAAAGCCAGGTGAAGGCTGTATACCAAGTGAGACTAGGTTTCCCCGGCAATCTTAAAAACTTTTTATACTGGGGCTATATAAATTAATTCATTAGTTAATTAGTAATTTAATTGAACTCAATTCATCTGATCATGGTAGTGGAACTGCTCAGCTCAGGACCGTAAAGCCCTGCAGAGAGTGGTGCTCGTAGCCATGAGTATAACTATAACTGTCTCTTCTCAACAGGTCATTCACATCAAGCAATGCAAAGTCAGATCCACTAAGGACTAAACCCACTCTGTAAACTTACTATTTAACCTGCAGACGCCACTGTGGTCTGATGGAAAAGTGGAAAGGCTCAGGACCGTCTTTCCTCAGACCATCAGACGACTCAACTCTGACATGAAAAACATTGCACTTTAATTAAGAATGCTGATGGTGATACATTATTTAGTACACTGCACTGCACTTTACGCACATTGCTTGGTTATCTTAATATTGTTTTTGTGTATTTATGTATATTTTTTACTGCACAGTCCACAGGAAATGCTTCATTCTGAAATGTTTTAACTTTCTACCTGCATAAAACAGCGAGCAGCAAAGGTAAACAGGCGACCATTTTGCCTTGAATGTGATGTTTATACTGATGATCATCATCATCCCTGAATCATGAACAACTTAGGTGCTAAACATAAAATGACTTATGTGATAAACACATTGCATATAGACGATGGAAATGTGTGTCGAATTGATAGCAGAGGATGGTATCAGAAAGAATATGGCATTTCAAAAGTAGGGCTGGCCAACCATTTTAAGCCCAAAGTTGTTTGGAAGAGTTGTGCATGATGCGTAATTTACTTTCATTTAATTTCATTAGTCCAAAACATGTTTAGGATAACATCATTAATATTAATCATCAATAATTTATGCTTATTTATTTATGTGAAATTTCTTAAATATCTATTTGACAGTAAATGTTTACCCTTTTCAGCGTTCCACCATAGTTCATAAAATGGCTGTATTATTTTATGTAATTCAGTAATATTAAATAATTATTTAAAAAATTCAATAGGTGCATTACAAATATTATTAGGTTGCATGAAGTTACTTGTATCTTAATTTTAGACAAACATTGTTAGTTAAATTTAGTCCATTTGAATTAATACTCTTACACTACATGTTTGCGCACTAATGTAATGAAGTTACTCTTCAGTTGTGTAGCTAAGTCACTAGGGGGCGCTGATGAGGGTATGTATAGAGGGTGTAATTTCCCTTTAAATATGCCACTTCCTGTGAGAGGAATAGTTGCAGTGAAGAACCACATATAAACATTTCACTCAGTAGAGCAGAAGGAAAACATTTAATTTTAGAAGCGTGTAATAAGAAATGGCAGACAGTTTGGGACTCATGTCATACAGGTCGGCATTATTATAAGGTACAAAAAACATAAAGCGAGGCAATATAATCCACAACTTAAGTAGAAGAGAACAAGTTATTTTCACACATTTAAGAACAGGACATTCAAACCTATTACACATTATAGGGAAACATTACACAGGTTTATGTGAAGTATGTTCAATAGAGGAGACAGCAGAACATATATTGAAGAAATGTAAGGCGTATAATAAAGAAAGGAGCATTCTTAAGGAAGAATTGCAAGCAGTAGGGTGCCAGGAATTCACTATAACCAAATTATTAAATGATGGTTCAAATTCAGGAAAACAAATAAAGGCAATCATGAGGTTTATTAAGAATAGTGGGTTATATAATAGGATTTAGAATTTAGTTCATTCTTTTCACACTCCATCACAGTAGGTGGCGGTATGCACCTTTAAAGTTGGTTCGCAACCTGCCATAAAACCAAAAGAAGAAGAAGAAGAAAAATAGTTGCAGTAGCTGAATTGTTTGGCATGGTCGCTGGAAGAACAAGCTCTGGTAGGTTGATTTTAATAAGAAGTGTTTTTTTATACTTATGATGTTTCAAATCTTTTTGATGTGTTGGCAAAGAGCCAGTGATGTTTGGTGAAAATGTTAATGCAAATGGGCCAGTTGTACTTGATCTGTTCATTGTCTTGATGTAGTTGGATTGTTTTAGAAGTGAGGCCTAAACGCCCCAATGCTGATAAAGTTTGGTTGGATGAGTGGTGAATACTGAATTATCATCACAGCACGTGAGTGTTGACACTGTCAAAGCAAGTTCTATTTTTTTTTTTTTTTAAGTGATTGTTGACAACCCTGTGTTTTATGTATTGGGTGAATGATTTTTGTAGAGAAGTTGCTTTATAGGCTCTCATGTTTTGCCATGTGGAGTTGGATGAGCGATGGGCATTAACCGCTGCTGTATTTCCTGGGGCTTCTGAAGTTAGCCAAAAGGTATTTATTTCTATTGATGTAATGTTGGAATGGCTAGCATATTTTAACCATGATGATTGAAATAAATATATGGTCAAGTTGTTCCTAGTATTCAATGTTATGTTTTAATTCCAGTTGTTTTAATGAGAATGTGTTTTTTGTTATTTACTGTTGTTTTTCCTTTTGTAGAATTTGATTTGTCCTGTTCAACTGACCATTGTTTTTCCCTACCTTTATTTTTGGTTTTCATGATTTGTGTGTTTTTGTTTGGTTGGCCCATGACTAATCAGTTGTACTTTTTATATGGTGGATTCTGTGAACTGCAACCAGGTCATTATCTGTAGCTGTGAGCATAGTAACTAAGGGGGGAAGATGTTCACTCTCGATTTATACAGGTGTGGTGTGTAAAGAGTTTTTGTGTGTTTAGCGTGGCATGTAGAAACTTTGTATTTTCTTTTGGGGTTTATTGTATTTCTTCATTGTTGTGTGTATTTTCTTTTGAAGTGATCTGCTTCCCCTAGCTAATTGTACCACCCTCTCTCAAGCTTACAATCGACCAGCTTTGAGTGAAAGCAGATGAGATCAGAATCCTTGTATTTAATAAAAGTGATGCTTTGATTAAATAGTAATTTTGCCTTGATTCATTTAATTGGATAGCCAAGCGGGAAACCCTCTAGTGACTTGGGGTCTCCTACCCAAACTAAATTGGAGTGGCGTAGTCAAGTGCAGTTACGCGACACACCTACCGCCTCACTACAGTTGTATACACAAAAACTTAAACATTAGAAACTGTCCATCAGAATGTTACACAACAGGTTTTTCCATTTACTAAAAATAATTAATAATGCAACTATTGATTTCATCATTTTTCTAAATTTAGTCCTTCTCAAAGCATGCTAGGAATAAAAAAAATATACATTTTAAAAACACGGCCCAGTTTTAGTTAGTTCAACAAAAATAATTAATGTAGTTCAAACAAAAGATTCACTTTTAAACATTTAAGTCAACACAATGGGAATAGGGAACACTAATGATGAGGACAGGTGAAACTGACTAGACAATAACGACAAGACAAGGATAACAAGGGGGCGGGGTTTCAAAACGAGACAACACAAGCACATGGCCCCAAACGGGCTTGTACACAAAACATGGTTCTGTCATGATCCTGCCACAAGACCATGCAGGAAAAATCTAAGACATGGCAGTATCATGACAAAGGGATTAATTACACATAGAACGCATTCAGCAGAACAAGAAATGTTTGAGAATAATAACAAACAAGGATCTAGAATACAGGCAGAACCTAAATTAACATTAAATTAAAGTTCAAGAACCAAACTCAGTTCAATCTATAGTAGCGGACAGCCCATGGTGTTTGCTAATCCAACATAAAGCAATAGACAAAGTTGCCTTTGAAATAGCAATGCTTCTAATTCAGAGTCAACTTAAAAGCCTCAAAAAGAGAAAAGCAGGTCGAAAACAGACACCATGCATGTCAATGCTCACAGTCACAACACAAACATATTGATATTTTAAAACTGAACTAACACATGATGAATGCGACAACAAACTTAGAACACTAGTCCTCGGGTGAACAGATGCAGATGAAAACCGTTCTGAAAGAATCAAATTATTTTCCAGATCGATATTCCTTTATTTAGTGCGTGTATTTAAATTAAAATTGGTTTTTAGAATCTATTTTTCAGCCATTATCTCTTCTATTGTAATGAATACCAAATGGTCCAGAGGCCACAGCCAGTCGATGCAGCTCTGCCTGAACTCTCTGTGCCTGTGAGGTTTATTCAAACACATCTGAGGTCAAAGCACAGTGATTAAATGAATGGTTTTGCACAGGTGTGTTTACACAGGACTGTAGTAAGCTGAATCTGTATACGGCAGCTCCTGTGTATTCATGCATAAAGAGAGAGCTATTGATCAGATTAGCCTGTGGAGGTACATAGCGATTGGTTTCTCCTGATAAGCTGTCTCTTTCTCTCCTTCTCTTTCTTTTTGTGTGGTCTGCTGAGAAAGAGAGGTGGCAAGGTGCGAGAGGATTACTTCCTGTATCAGAACCCCGAGCCACAGCTGTATGTAATCGGGAACAAAGTTGAGATTATGGAAACAGACAGAGGTTCAAAAGAAGGAGACCTTCTCAATCAAGAACTGCGAATCTCTAGACTCTGTTGCAGAGCGGCTTACGCTCAGCATATACAGTGGGACCTCTAGGAAAATGAGCTCCCAATTTCACTGCCAGGTTAGTATAATTTTATTATTTTTGATCAGTTAATGTAATGCCCTTAACTATGCACACGCATAGCAACCATGACCTCCGCTGAAACACTACTTCACACCACACACAAACAGCTTTCCTCTTGTTCTCTAGAAACGAAACAAGGATTGCGAGCAGAGAGAAGACAATTGTCCACTTGGCTCCAAAGCGAAATCTTGATGTGAGTATTCGCACGCTGCCATAAGCCATGTCCACACTAATACGTTTTCGTTTGAAAACGTTTATTTTTCTCTCCGTTTTGGCCTTCTGTCCACACTGAGACGCCGTTTTAAGTCAACAAAAACGTATCGTTTGGAAAACGCTCTCCAAAGTGGATAAATTTGAAAACGCCGTGTTCGCGTTGTAGTGTGGACAGTGAAACCGGAGGTATTTCAAAACGATGACGTAAGTTTAGTCATGTGATCCATGTAGTACCAATAGATATTCATGTTTATCGGTATTGTGCCTGTTGTGTGTTATTCATTTTTACACTATTGCTAAAATATGTTACTTTCTATGTTACTTAATATGTGCTGTTCTTCATAGCACAGTACTGCAAAGATGACAGCTAATGTAGTTTGTTTGTTTATTAAGATCCCCATTAGCTACTGCAAAAGCAGTTGCTATTCTTCCTGGGGTCTATAGACTTCAACACAAAAAATATTCTTATAACATAAAACCATACATTTTGTTGACAAGAAGGAGTGTACACATACATACATAACAACACGGCAACGTACCAAGAAACACACAAAAAAAAAAAAAAAAAAAACAACCAGCTCTACATTATACATTAACACAATACACAGTTGTTGCCATACTCTTAGGGTTCATAGATATCACGATGTTTTTCCAACCTTCAATATCAGGAACAACACAAAAATAATAAAAATTATTCAAATGTAAATAAATAAAGTCTTAATCTTTTACGAAAATTCATTGTATTCGTTCCCAAATTCAAAAACTGAGGAAGAGAATTCCATGCCACCATTGTAGTCTACTCACATTTGCTGTCCTGCGGCAAAACAGGAGAGCAGTTGTGTTTTAGACCAAACATATGGTGACTGAATGCGACCTGGACGCATCCGTGATGGTGAGATATTTTGCTAAATAAAATTATCCTATTATTGTGCGATGACATTATTATTTATTTTCCCATTTGCATCATCTCAGTGAGCTTTTGTGAAGTTTCACGCATGCGCAGTAAAGTGAATTTAGAAGCTTCTGATCCACACTGAAACGTCGGAAAACACCTGAAAATGCTAGTGTGGACGGAGAGTGTTTTTAAACGAAAACCCCGTTTTCAAATGTATCCGGATTAATGTGGACGTAGCCATATACATAGAAGCAGGGGAGCGGCTTGCGGTGCAAATCTCACTCGCCATTGGCTTGTTCTGTTACCACTCTAAGGTGATTGGGCTCTCAGACGAGATCCCAATTTGGTTGGGATCTCGATTCTCGGTTGGGATTCAGTTCAGTTCTGACGTGACTGACTGATAGGGAACAAATGGTATGTGCATCTTATGTTGTAACACGTACTAGACATGGTGGAGAAATGTTAGTCTAGTTTGGCCATTATGCATCTGTAATCCATCATTTCTACACTGAACACATTAAATATCTGACTTCAAGGGATTTAGAGTGTGAGGGTGTGAGAACAGCATGCGGCCATCTTTGATAAAAGGATCCATTTGGCAGTCGAATACACACAGATATGATCAGACATGGCTTGAACTCTCCACAATAAAGCGATATGGTGCCTCACAGGCAGCTCTATTCTCATTCACCTCATGTATGGGATCGGTTACTCTAATGATGTTCCCACAAAGAAAAATTGCCCCCCTCCTCAGTTCCCTTTCCTCCCTCACAGACGGATCCGCCTCCTCTCAGCTCTCTGATTAGGATTTCCTTGTGCTGAAGACAACTGGTGAATGGAAATATAACTCGGACTGTCAGGGTTCAAGACCCACATTATAAATGATTTAATAACATGGATATGGATACACCCTTATAATTTCAGATGGACCACTGCACTCATTGGCCTTCTGACCTCTGCAACAACAAAATTCACTTTCAAATGGTTAGTATTGGTGTAGGTGTGCAGTTAAAGTGAATAATTTCTGCGCTGATAGTGGTATCAAAAGGGATTGTGAATATAATTTGATTTTGAAACTTGGTGGTGCTTGTCAGGGTAAATTGTCTGCCATGTTGTGGCAATGTGTTTGCTAAGGTGTTCTGTGTGATTGTAGGTGTGTTGCTATCTGTTCCAAATCAAAGGAGCCCTACCATCTACAATGTAAGTCTATGGGATATTTAAGTGCCCTTTTATGTGAAATGTGTAAAGTTGTGGTCAAAGTCACACACTGTAAATTTTCACCTAAAGAATTTAAACTTAAAAATGTAAGGCAGCAACTGAACTGAAGTTGTGTAGAATCAAATTGGCATTAGCATTAGAAGTAATTTCAAATTATATTATAAAAAAAGTACTTTGAAGTTAAATTGATTGGAACTTATAAAAGAACAATGGAATTGAAAACGTTGAAAACTTTTATTTTGATAAATTAATGTTAAAACGTATGTCGCCGTGAGTTATTGATCATATCATTTTTTTAAAGCAGCATTATTCTGCAAATATTTACGGGCGAAATCCAGTCATTTCTGTAGGAATCCATGCAATCAGAAATTTTGTGTGTGGACAGATTTCTCTGCGTTGACCAACAGAGAGCAGCTTGGTTTGAAAGTGACTTCTGTGTGAGCAGCATGTGCTTCATAAATCATGAATATTGACCGCAGTGATCACACCTCAAAGGGTAAGTTTACCTCAAAATGATAATTCTGACATTAATTACTCACCCTCATATCATTCCTAACCTGTAAGACTTTCTTTTTACAGTTTTGGGGATGCTACTCTAACTTAGCTTGTAGCTTGTAAAGCTAGCTGTTTCAAAGTAGGGGCCATTTACACACAACCAACTTTTTATGTGTTTTGGCTGTTCATTTACACAACAATGGCACCTTGCTGGCCTGAAAATGCAAACTTTTGAAAACGGATACAAAGTGCAAGTTTTCGAAAATGACATCTCCATGTAATCAACAAAAACGTGAGTCTGTAAAAGGAGGAGATGAGAACAATTCTAAAAATGTGATTACAAGTGAATGATTCTGGCTTTGTGAAGATGAAATTTAGCCAGAAGACTAATTAGGCCTATGTAATTTGTGTCCACACAGAGTCATATGCGTTGGGTTCGAGTGCACTGTAGTAAAAGAATGCGTGTGTGCAAGCGCATAGTCTTTATTTACAAAGTAGCATCACCAACTACTAGTCTAGCATGCATGCTACATCCTGGAAAATAGTAGTTAGCAACTAGAAATGCTACACTGTTTTAAAAGTGACCGTTCTACAGTCAAGCTACTGAAAAACGTACTTGTTAAAGTTAGTAGCGTCGCTACCTGTAGTTAACTACTCCCCAACACTGTCCGTTCTTCTGTGGAACACAAATGAAGATCTTTTCAATTAAATCAAGCTTTCTGTCCCCCCATTGACAGCCTACACAACTACCACCACTGAAAGGTAGTAAAGACGTCATTAAAGTAAGAGTGAAAGTGATCGGAGAAAACATTGCTATACTCGTGCCAGATGGACCAGTAGTTGGAGAACTCAAAAAAAAATAAATTAACTGGGAAGGTTGTGCACTTTACATGTTTATATTTAGCTTACTTATAATAATTGCATTTTTTTTACTTGAAACGCTTTTTTTTTCCCCAATAAGGTCTATGTAATTATGTCTCAACTTAGCAGTACAAAATAGTAATGCGTTGTCTAAACACAAACTATTAAATAAAGTAAAAAATTCTGACATCCAGAGAGTGGCATATAGTGCGAGTCAACTGCCATTTTGCCCGAACTTAATTTGATTGTGTTCAATCTGCTTAAATATATGTATAATTAAAGTTTACTTAATTCGTTTGTGTTAGATGACATGATTGATTTGTGTTGCATTAACTGAAACTGGGCGGTGCTTACAATTAAGTGATATTTCATGTTTTGTTTTTTGTGAAATTTAGAAAAGGTGAAGACTTGATAGTGTACAATTGTGTTTAATGTTAAATTACATTGGAACCATTTAAATAGCTTGTTTTCACGTGACGTCACGCAACTGCGTTGCCATGGCGCGAAGCACAAATGGAGGGCAGGAAGTGATTTCTATGTTTAGGAAGCACTTTAACACACTCAAAATGCCTGTGTTTTGCGTCGTTTATGGTTGCTCAAATCGATCAAAACACGAGGAGTTTTTATCGTGTGACAAAAGTTGTTGTTCATAAGGGGGGAAAATACAAGAAATTGACAGAAAAACACCGGGAAAATGCCTTACAAACCAACATCTGCGGTCGGGAGGAGCCGAATGGGAAAATGCCTGTGTGTGTGCGCGCAGTGATCACTTCATCAACTGTGAGTGAGTTAATATTTATGTGGCTTATAATTACATTATTCAGGTGTTTAAATACACTTATGTGGCTGTTTGTGTAACGTACCAGTTTCCGAACTTTGTAAAGTCAAAGTATGTCTGTAAGACGAGTTAGTTGCTGATATTTACAGCCTCGATGGCAGGCAAATCTCTCAATTCAGTTGAAAATCGCTCCTCTTCATAACGTAAGGATCACGTCCAACATATGTTTCGATTTTCTGTTGATATATTTCTCTTGTAATAGCGTCTAAAGTAGTACAGTACGGATTTTCCTCCATCTCGTCCATTGCGCTCTTCACTCCTTGCCCTCCATCTGCATTCCGCGCGTCAACACAATCACGTGACTGCAAACCACCTATTACAGTGGTTACCATTGTGGAGAAGAGTGGAGCATTTTGTTTGGCTGTGGACTGATTTACTTATTTCCTAATTTGTATAAAGGAGAAATATAAATGTTAGCATTTAAGATGCTAATATGAGCTATTATTTGCAAATAGTCAGCTATAGTCCATCAATTTAACTATGTGTATCTCAATTTGACTGTCTTTCAGATGGATGGCACACTGAGTTTCAAGCTTGACTGTTTGTATGTGCAACAGCTGACTTTGGGACTTCTGCCGGCTTAGTTCCAACTCCAATAATGGGTCTGGTGGAGATGGCAGCTCAGTGGAATCTTTGCTGAATGGCTCCTCGGGTTTTTGTCTGCTCCGCTTCCTCACCCACAGAAACT